GGGGGGGCGGCAGCAGGGTGCCTGCACAGAGATGGGCTGGCAGCAGGTGGAGGCCCAGCAGCAGGGGCGGCAGACCACGGCCGTGCAGGATGTGGGGCAGCAGCTGATGGGGCGGCAGCAGCCCTCCTCCACACCACAGGGGTCACAGCATATGGGGTAGTGGCAGACCACGGTCATGCAGGACGTGGGGCAGCAGCTGATGGGACGGCAGCAGCCCTCCTGCAGGCCACAGGGGTCACAGCAGACGGGGCGGCGGCAGGGCTCACAGATGGGGCGCGTGCAGCGGCAGGTGCAGGTCACGGGTCGGCACACGGTGGTCTGGCAGGACACGGGGCGGCAGCAGCAGGGGTCGCGGCAGCAGCAGGGCTGGCAGCAGGGCTGGCAGCAGCCTCCCCCACAGCCTGAGGAGGAGCAGCAGGAGCCACAGCAGGAGCCAGACATGGTAATGTCTGGGGTTGTTTAGGGTTGGACTGGTGAGAGGATTTGGGTGTTGTCAGGTGTGAATGTCTCTGTTCTGCTCTGGGCCCTTTTTATACCCTGGCCTGCTGCTGCTGACCCCCAGGACACATGATCATTTCTTCATCTTCTGGCCAGTTAAGTAAGGATTTAGCATTGAGTAAATCATGTTTTTTGAATCTTCACCTTATACACACCTATGCACACAACCACAAACATTCCTTTGTTTTCCATATTGTTTATTCTTACCAAATGTAGACATTGGATTCAATTCTGGTGAATTTTCCTTTGAAATATTCCTAACTCATGGAAGAGAAAAGAGTGTGTTTTCTAAACTAGAATAGTATCTACTCACTCTTCCCTTTTATTGCTGGACTTCAAAGACTCACATAATTACCACCCAAACAGTGACTTGCCGTATTTACACCTGTGGTCCTAACAGTAACAGGTTAAATAGCAACACTCTTGTGCAGGCCGGTAGACATCTGCTTCCTGGATGTCTCCTTTCATGACTCACCGAGGGGCAGATTTGTGTTTTTCAGATGAGGTGGGACCACATTGTGTCCTGCACCCCTGCCACCCTGGTTTAGTCACTCTTCCCTCGTAGGGCCTGGGCTGTTCTGCCCTGGTTGTTGTCTCCCCCATTCACCTGTAGTGCCCTCTCCTCCTTCCAGACCAGACTCTACCTTGACTGTAAAATTTTTATCAAGGATCTGTTGCAGTTTTTATCTTTGTAATTTATTCAGGATTAATTGTTATATGTGTAGATTCTGGGAAGGGACTGTAGAGAACATATAGACCTATCCCCTCATCTTAAAGGAGAGGTCATGTGGGTTCACCATAGTCACTCAGTGGGGTCTAGGTCTCCTCATTCCTCAGTAAGCAGCCTCTACTATGAGTTTTATGTTTATCAGGTTCAGTAGACCATAGTCTTCAGACAGGAGAGAGAACATCTCAACTATTCCCCCATTTTTTATCTCAAGTCTTAAGTAAGCATTATTAAAAGTGATGCTGGAAAAAAGTTAGGAAAAAGTGTCTTGTTCCAATGAGAGATAATCCAAAAGGGCCCTAGGACTTGTTTGCAGGGTCAGATGTGCACCAGTGTAGAGGTTTCTCTCTGAGGAGGGATCAACAGAGCTTGGCTTACTGGTGGGTGGAGGTGTGGGGGGTTGCCTGTTCTGAGATGTTCTAAGTGTAAATTGGTTCCCTTTGGTAACACATTGTGGCACTGTGAGATAATGCGCTTGTCTAATTCCTTTTATTGTTTTTTAATTTATCCTCCACCCCATTTCTACCCTTTGTGATGAGTTCCATAAATTTGCCTCTTGTGAAGTAGAGATGTACTTTTCCTTTGGATTTGAGGTGGAAAAAAAAAGCATCCTGTTCCATCAACTCCACTTACTTTCTGTCAGCACTAAACGACAGAAAGGGCCAGGAGCTTGCAAACCACCAATCACATGTCCTAAAATTAGTACCTTGAGCTTTTAAAGGGAGAGGCTTCTTACTGTTTTCATTGGGGGATTAGTTTTGTTTTGGCTTCAGTGATATTATGGAAGACATCATAGTTTTGAATTATATTAAATTCTCTAAATCTCTTCATCCCAAGATTCTCTCTTGGCTCCTTTACAGTATTTGTTGATTTTTTCATGTGCGGGTGCAGACTAAGTAATTCTCTGAGATAATGTGGCTGGAATTACATGCAAGCTAGTTTCTTGTTGCCACCATGGTTGAGTTAGTCAGCTGTAATGCATAACAAGCAACCACAAACTCTCAGAATGTACAATAACAAGTATTTATTTCTTGGTCATATGTCTGCAGGTCAGTTGTGTTTTGTCTGATTAAGGCTGGTCTTGGCTTCTGGCAGTGGGTTGATTTGGGACTTCCTTTTGAATTAGAGTTGCCAGATTTAGCAAATAAAAATGTAGGTGCCAAGTTAAAATTGGATTTATCTTTAGCATAATAAATCTTCAGCGTAAGTTTGTCTGAGTATGCATGAGGCATACTTATGTTAAAAATTTGTTATGGAGGGCACGTATTGCATGGAGCACTCAGTGTGGGGTATAAACAATGAATTCTGGAACAATGAAAAGAAATTTAAAAAATAAATAAAAATTTAAAAAAAATTTGTTATTTATCTGAAATTAAAATTTGATGAGGTGTCCTGTATTTTAATTGGAAACCCTGGTTCTGATGGCATAAGCATATGGAAGCAATGCAGTCCTGCATATTTTAAGTCTTTGCATGGATCATGTCCTCTAACTTCTCATTGGCCAAACAAGTCACATGGTGGAGTTCAAGTCACAGGGTGGGAGAGTGGGAGAAGAGGATACTTCTCCCAAAGGGGTAGGAAGGGGAAGAGAGCAAACATTAATGAAGAATAATCTAATCTGTCAGAACAGCAAATCAGTTAATTTGGGAATCTTTGTTGTAAAGCTTGGATAAAGACTTTTAGAAAGTCAAATTAGATGTTTACTGCATTTCCATTCATTTGAGTAACTTTTATTTCTCTTCCTCCTTCTCTTCCTGGTCAACAGGAAATGTCATTGACTTAAAAAGGGACTTCCTGATCTACATATTTAAAGCAGTCCCTATCAAAATACCAGTAGCATTTTTTACAAATCTAGAACAAACAATCCCAACATTTGTATGGAACCACAAAGGATAGCCAAAGCAATCTTGAAAAAGAAAAGCAAAGCTGGAGACATCAAAATTTCAGATTCAAGTTATATTGCAAACCTGTAGTAATCAAAACACCATGGTACTGGCACAAAATAGACACATAGGTCGATGGAACAGACTAGGAAATCCAGAAATGAGCTCACAACTGTATGGTCAATTAATATTCAACAAAGCAGGAAAGAATATTCAATGCAAGAAAGACAGTTTCTTCAACAAATGGTGTTGGGAAAATTGGAGAGCAACATGCAGAAGAAAGAAACACTATACACAAAAATAAATTCAAAATGAGTGTGAACCTAAACCCATAAAAAATCTTAGAGGACAGCACAGGCAGGAATGTCTTTGACATTTGCCATAGCAAATTTTTTCTAGATAGGTCTCCTAAGGCAAGGGCAATAAAGCAAAAATAATCTATCAGGACTACATCATAATAAAAAGTGTCTGGATAGCCAAGGAAACAGTGGACAAAACTAAAAGGCAGCCTGTGAGGTGGGAGAAGGAATATTTCTGATAGGGGAAAAATCCCTCTACTTTCCTTTTCAGCATATCTTTGGCTAATTTTGGACCTTTTCTTTTCTATATGCATTTAGAAACAGTCATACTCTGTTTAAAAACCTCATTGGAACTTTGATCAGAATAGCATTAAATTTATTGATTCAACTAGGAAGAATTGACATATTTGTGATATTAAATCTTCCCAGTGATAAACCTGATATTAACTCTTCATTTACATATAGATTTCCAAAGAATATTTCACACTTTTCTTCATAAACATTGCACAGTTATTTTAGGCTTATTTTGAGGCATTTTATAATATTTGTAGCTATTTTTAATGAAATCTTCCTATTAAATTAGAATTACTAATTGACTCTTGCAAGTTATAAAAATATTATTGGGTTTTTTTTTTTTTTTTGGTCGGTACTCTATATACTGATTTCTCTGAACTCTTTTTAGCACAAGTTTGTGGGTTTTCTTGAATTTCCTATTTTGACAACAGTATTGTCTACAAATACCAACTTTTTTTTTTTTTTTTTTTGGTAACACTTTTTTCTAATCGGATTGCATTGGCTAGGATCTCAAATACAACAATGAATGACAGGGAGTGATATGAGTTATCCTTGTCTTATTCTAAACTTTAGTAGAATACTTTTCACTTGTTAACTATTATGTTTGCTATGAAGTTTTAATAAATAGCATTTATTAGGATAAAAATGTCCTCTTTTAGCCCTATTTTGCTTAGAGTATTTTAAATAGTAAATGACTATTGTGATGGCCAATTTTATGTGTCAACTTAACGGGGCCATAGGATGCCCAGACATTTGGACAAACATTATTCTGGGTATGTCTGTGAAAGTGTTTCTTGGTAAGATTAATATTCAAACCATTAGACTGAATAAAGCAGATTGCCCTCTCCAATGTGAGTAGACCTCATCCAATCAACTTAAGGTCTGAATAGAACAAAAAGGCTGATGTCTCCCCACCGTGATTAAAAAGGAACTCCTCCTGTCTGACTCCCTTGACATCATCAGTCTTTTCCTGAAACATTGGTTCTTCTTGGGTCTTGAGCCTGCTTGCTTTTGAATTGGAATTATACCATCAGCTCTTCTGGGTCTCCAGCTTATTGAATGCAGATCTCGGGACTTCTCAAATTCTGTGATCACATAAGCCAATTCCTTAAAATAAATCCCTATATCTATATCTATATCTACCTATATAGAGAGAGAGAGAAAGAGAGAGATTTATTTTATATCTATCTATATAGGGAGAGTGGGTGTATGTGTGTGTGTGTTGGTTTATGTATATGAACGTGTGTCTATATCTATTTATCTATCTCCTATTGGTTCTGTTTCTCTGGAGAACCCTGAATAATACATTTATATATTATTGAATATAATATATATTATTGATATAACAGCTATTGATATAATCCTGAAGTTTTCCCCCTTTAATGTAGTAGTATTAACAAGCTTATTTAAATATTTTCTAACTTTGAAGCATTCCTGAATGTCTAGAAAACTGTAGTTGGTTATATGTTATTCTTTTTATATATTGCTAAATTTCATTTACTAGTATTTATGGGAATTTTGCATCTATGATCTTCAATAATATAGGCCTATAATTTTCCTTTATCACATTGTTCTTGTATGTTTTTAATATTATTGTTTTACTAAAAATGGGAAGATTTTCCTTTCTTCTGTTCTTTTTCCTCGTTGGAGTGGGAGAGAACTTTAAGGCTTAATAAACTTACTAATGAATCAACATGGGTCTGGTTTTTTAGTATGTAGAGGATAGATTTTGCATCATAGGTATAGTTTCTTTAATGGTTATTGGTTTATTTATGTTTTGTATATCTTCTGGAATTACCTTTATTTTTCTAGACAAGTCAATTCTATCATAATTTTCAAATATATTGGTATAAACTTATATGTAATGTTCTAGTATGTTTTTTTTAAATTTTTTATTTTTTCAGTGTAACAATATTCATTATTTTTGCACCACACCCTGTGCTCCATGCAATCCGTGCCTTCTCCAATACCCACCACCTGGATCCCCCAACCTCCCACCCCCCGCCCCTTCAAAACCTTCAGATTGTTTTTCAGAGTCCATAGTCTCTCATGGTTCACCTCCCCTTCCAATTTCCCCCAACTCCCTTCTCCTCTCTAACTCCCCTTGTCCTCCATGTTATTTGTTATGCTCCACAAATAAGTGAAACCATATGATAATTGACTTTCTCTGCTTGACTTATTTCACTCAGCATAATCTCTTCCAGTCCCGTCCATGTTGCTACAAAAGTTGGGTATTCATCCTTTCTGATGGAGGCATAATACTCCGTAGTGTATATGGACCACATCTTCCTTATCCATTTGTCCATTGAAGGGCATCTTGGTTCTTTCCACAGTAATCTTCTAGTATGTTTTTAAAAAATTTCTACTCTTTTGGGAGCTGATTATTCCCCTTTACAAACGTAATGTTATTTGTCCATCTTTCAGTCATCTTCTTTCTCTCCCTTTCTCTCTCTTTGACCATTTTACCAGATTTTTCCATTAGTTTTTTAATCTTTGTTTATATAATTAATCTCATTAAACTTTTCATTTTTTATTCATGTAATTTTGCTAAGCTTTTCACTTAAAAATATGTTACTAATGTTTAAATTTGTCATTATAACCTTCTTTCTACATTGGGTTTACTGGTTGGTGAGGATATAATAGAAGGGGGATATCCTAATGTGTGATTCCAAAGCATGGCTTCAAGAAGGAGGACCCTGTGCATTATTGGTAAGGATGTAAATTGGTGAAGCCATTCTGGGAAACAATATGGAGGTTCCTCAAAAAATTAAAGATAGCACTGCCATATAATTCAGCAATTTCACTCCTGGATATTCATCCAAAGAAAAGGAAAACATTAATTAAAAAAAAATGCACCCCTATGTTCACTGTAGTATTATTTACAATAGCCAAGATACATAAACAACCTAAGTGTACATCAATGGATGAATAGATAAAGAAGATGTGGTATATATACACAGTGAAATTTTATTCAGCCATAAAGAATGAAATCTTTCCATTTGCAACAACATAGATGGATCTTGAGGATATTATGCTAAGTGAAATAAGTCAGACAAAGACTAATACTGTATGACTTCACTTATAGGTGAAATCTAAGCAAATGAACAAACAAAACAAAACTCAAAGATGCAGAGAACAGATTGGCTGTTGCCAGAGGGCAGTGGGGATAAGGAGTGGGGAAATGGGTGAAGGTGCTTAAGAGGTGTACACTTCCAGTTATAAAATAAATAAGTCATAGGGATGTAATGTTAGCATGGTGACTGTAGTCAATATTATTGTGTCATATACCTGAAAGTTGCTAAAAGAATAAATCTTTAGTTTTCATTACAAGGAAAATATTTTTGTAACTTTGTATGGTGACAGATAGTAACTAGACTTATTGTGGTAATCATTTCTTAGAGTATACAAATATCAAATTATTATAGTGTATACCTGAAGGATATAATGTTATGTGTCAATTATAGCTCAACAAAAATTAAAATTTATAAATAAGAGCTAAGGACATGAATTAAATCTGTCCCAATGTGTATGTGCACATGTATTGCTTTTGTTCCAGTATCTTAAAATTATCTATATTTGATATAGCATTTATTCTCAAAGTGGTTTCAACATGAGTATTCTTCCTGTATCATCATGTAAAATATAGTTGCCTAGTTACTGAGTAAAATGATCATGAATACAATAGAGAATAATGCCGATGAATTTTTATGTGTAGAAAAGTTTATTAGAAAGCAGAGAAGCAAAAAAACATAAGAAATTCACTCTTTTAGAAATACATAATTGGACCCCCAGGTCTAAGTGTATAACTGAATCCCAGGTCAGAGGGTATCAAGTTAGTACTGCATAGGGATTACAGATAATATTTACTTTGTTAAGAAGGATAATCTAGAGCTCCATAGTGATAAGTAAGAAAGAGAAACTTAGAGGAGTGGGATGATTTTTTAGCTGATGGATTACAAATTAATATCCATATTTGGTACCAGTATTGAAAGGAAAAGATAATAATGGAAGAGCTTAACATGAACCAGAATGTGCTCACAGAGTCAGTGGGTTGTGTTCATTGGAATCATGAGGCTCAACCTGTGAATGAGGTCAACCAGACTCTATCTGTCCTAATGCTCAGCACAAAAGGAGAAGGGTCTACATCTGTAGGGCAGAGGTAAGCAGAGATGGTAGTCAGAGGGCAGGGGGCTCAGCAGCAAGAGGAGGCACAGCACATGGGGCGGGGGCAGGTGGAGATGACACAGGTGGGGCGATAGCAGGTGGTGTGGCAGGAGACTTGGCCACAGACTGGGCGCAGGCAGCAGGAGGGGCAGCAGCAGGAGGGGCAGCAGCAGCTGGAGCCACAGCAGCTGGAGCCACAGCAAGAGGGGCGGCAGCAGCTAGAAATGCAGCAGGAGGGGCGGCAGCAGCTAGTGCCACAGCAGCTGGAGCCACCGCAGTTGGATCCACAGCAGGAGGGGCGGCAGCAGCTAGGCCTGCAGCAGCTGGAGCCACAGCAGGAGGGCTGGCAGCAGCTGGACACACAGCAGCTGGGGCGACAGCAGGTGGTCCTACAGCAGGTGGTCTGGCAACAGCTGGGGCAGCAGCAGGTTTCCTGGCCACAGCCCTGGTCAGAGCAGATGGAGCCACAACAGGAGTTGACCATGGTGTTAGAGGTTAGAGGTTCTGGGTGGGTTTCCAGAAGAATGAAATTCTCAAGTGTGATCCTTCCCTGCCCTCTGTCACTTTTATACCCTGCTGAGGGCTACTATGACCACGTGCAGGACTCTTCTTGTTTATCCTAATAGAAAATCAGTTAGCTTTAGTAAATTAGATAATTATGTTTATCTGGTAAATATTCCTATATATAGAAAAGGCTCCATTTCCTTTTCCTGTTGTACTGTGAGCTATCTGATTTGGTTAAAAACATGTAAATCAGCTTCCGTATCTCTTCCCTTGCCTACTGTGTCTTCCAAACAAGTCCCATCCCATAGCATTGTTTCACTGGATTTCACAAGAATTAAATCTTCATTTATGTATTTAACTCCAGGATAGTATGTTGAGAGTGGATTTTATGATGACTAAATCTGCTGTTAAAGAGGTTAACAATCAGTCATATAAAAATGCTGGTGGGAAAATAGGGTGAAAGAGCCATCTTGGAGGAGGGTGGGCAGTCCCTTGTGTGCAGTAGGGAATATGGTGATTCCTTTAGATTTTATGGATGGCCAGTAAGGTATAAAGGATCTTAACGAAGTTCCTATCTGTTTTGTCTTATTCACTTATTCAGTTTGAAAGTCATAATGCAATGATTCACTGCTATTGAGTAGTAGAAAAACCCATTGGCATGAATAGGTCCTTTTAAAAATTATTAAATTATTATGGACGTGTTCTTCAGAAATAGGGTATCATAAAGGAGTACTTTTTCTCTTTTTTGGTGGATGAACATAACCAATAGAATATGCATATTGAATATTTTCTTGTATTCTGAGCTTTTGTCTCTCAAAAAGTTATGTTTGAGATATTTTGCTTGATATAAATGAGATCTAAAAGATTAATCTTTAATCTGTGTTCTATAGGCATTGAATAAGACAAGACACATATGTAGGGGTTTGGCAAGCATGTAGAACATAGTACGATAAATAACAATTATGTATTTAAATCTGTACACTTATGAAATATGAGATAATACTAATAGTTACTATTTTTGAGTGCCTATTGTGTTTCAGGAATTTTCTGAGTCTTTAATTGTTACCTTGTTTATGCTTCGCAAGATCTCTAAGAGATGGTCGCAATTTTTCTTAATTCTTCAGACATGAGGTAATTGAGGTTCAGATAGATTGAAATCAGATAGTCAATAGAGAAGATGGTTCTTTCTTAAAAGTTTCAAATGGATATGAAGAATAATAATTCCATGTCCTTTCTCATACTGTTTCATTTGTTTAAATATGCTTTCTCTCTTGTCAATTCACAAACTCTTGCTCATACATAAATGTTTAGTCTGGATACCAACTCACAAACTCATCTCTAATGTCTTTCTTGACATCTACCACACTCAAAATGAATCCTTCTTTTCCTTTTAATCCAAGGTACCTGTGATATAGGGTATCACACTCTACTGTAACTGGTTTATATCTTTTTCCCCCGTATTCCTTCTATATACTCCATGAGGTCAGAGATTGGCTTATTCATATATATAAACAGGGTGCCTAGCAATTGCTCTGAAAGAATGTTAGTTGAGTGAATGTGGAATTTACTGAAAACATAAGGCATTTACTCACCCTTTATCATACTATAGATAATCTAGATGGATGGAAAAAAGAAAAACATTCAGACAATGGGGATATAATTGAATGGGGGTTTATTTTGGCCTCTCGTGGAGTAAATGACTTGTCTGGTTGGTATGTATAGGATAATAAAGACAATTAATAGTTCACTGCTAAAATGAGGAGAATGTAAAGATATTCTTGAATTTATACAAAGAAACTGTATTCATCACACAGTTGGGAGAAAGGTGTGAGAGAACATCTAGGCTTTTAAAATATTATTTGCCTGGGGGTGGGGGAGTAATGGGAAGTAGGAGGAAAGTTTAGGTGGTGGCTGTAGGCTAAGGATGAGAGATGAATGCCTATCTAGGTTGGTGGCAATGGGAGTAGTAAGGAGGATAGTGATGCAATCAATAGCACCTCAAAGAGAGTCAACCAAGATCACTTACAAAATGGGGCAGTAGAGGTAACAGGAGACCTCATCATTAAAGAGGACTCATAATTTAATATTTTTTCAATTGTATACACATTTTACAATTAAATTCAGATAGTGAAAAGATAATTATTTGTAATAAGGAAAATATAGTTTAAAATCTCACCAGAAACAAAGTAAAAAGACAAATGACTGAATGAAAAAAAAAAAACCTGCAATTTATACCAAAGACAAAGAGCCAATGATGTTAATATATAAAGCACTTCTAAAATTATACTGGAGAAGAGGAAAAACCTGATGGGAAAATGAGATTCAGATCATTCTCCATCATAGAAAGATGTCTAGTATCACACATAAGAATGGAAATGAAATTATATAAGATACCACTTCTCACCTGTGAGACTGTCAAAAATTCAAAATTTCACAATATTCTCTAATAGTAAGATTCTGTGGAAATAGACATGCTCATACCTTTCTTATGAAGATTTGACAATAATTTGCAGCATTATTCTTTGACTCTGGTATCCCTATTCTATAAATTGTCAAGGTATTCAGGCAAAACTATGAAAAGATGTTATGCAAGATTACTCATGGCACTGCTGTTTTTAAAAACAAAACAATAACAAGAGCTAGACACAACCTGGGTGTCCTTCAGTATTGTAGTGGTGAATGAGCTCTGTTGTATCCCCATGATGGAGTACTATTCAGCTGTAAAAAAGGAATAAAGAGTATCTTTATATGCCACTATGAAGTAATCTCCAGTATATTGTTAAGAGATGATAAAGCAGATGGAGCAAAGTGTCCATAACATTCTACAATGTGTCTAAACCAATAAGGGAGGGATGTGGGTGGGGGATGGGCTAGATGGGTGAAGGGGATTAAGGAGTACGCTAGTTATGATGAGCCCTGGGTGTTCTATGTAAGTGATGAATCACTAAGTTCTACTCCTGAAACCAATATTATACTACATGTTAACTAACTAGAATTTAAGTGAAAATTTGGAAAAAAAATATTGCAGGTAGAAAAAAAATAAGGGAACACATATAGAAAATCTATTTGCTTATATTACATGAATTTTTTAAATAATGGAAGAGCAGAGAAAAAGCAGAGGAAACAAAACAAAAACAAGAAAGGGACTTAAAATTCCTGCTGAGGAGTCTTAGGGACTAGATTTACACTTCTGCCTGAAGTAACTAAAAAAACAGACAAAATAAATGAAACTGTGGCTTTTAGACATTGGCTATCAGGTCAGAACACTGGTTCCTTAGAGTAGGGAAACAAATGAGGTGATCCATAGAATTGCCTCAGTTTATTTCTTGATGAGAGTTTCTGGGGGGTGCAGCTCTGGGAGAGAGAACCAGGTAGAGCCTGGTAATCCTCCTGACTTGAGGAGACAGAGCTGGAATGAAGGAGGCCAAATCAACTGCAATTCACAGGATAGAGTATCAGAGAGGAAAGAGTTGCACAGAGAACCCCAGAGGTCTGCAGAAGATCCACCTGCATCTTCAGCTGAGTACTTATGAGTGCATGTGCATGAAGAAACTACCCAAGGGCAGAAAAAAATCGGCCCTGCCCCACCCTACCCATAAAAAACAAAGAGAACAATCCTTGGAGCTGACAAAGGCCAGAAACCGCTCCTGTTCCCATGAGCCAGAGTGAAAAACCTTGTAATTCATGGGTCATTGGTTAAAGAATTTAGAATAGTATTGCCTCAGGAGTGAGGCAGATTTTTCCCTAGAGTAAGGGCTGCTCTAATCCCACCATCAGTTTATAAGCAAGTCTTGAAAGGATCAGACTGTTAAATCAACTTAATTGCATTCTAGAATAATCAAGTCCTCTGATTCCATCAAAATAAAAATTACTTTTCAAAAGATACTGTTTAGGCAGTAACCTTTTTGATATTGGCTGTAGCAACTTTTTTCTAGATTTGTCTCGTGAGGCAAAGGAAATAAAAGCAAAAATGAACTATTGAGAGTACATTAAAATAAAGCTTATGCACAGTGAAGGAAATGATCAACAAAACTTTTTAAAAAGCAACCAACTGGATGGGAGACGATAGTTGCAAATGATGTGTTTGATAAAGAATTAGTATCCAAAATATATGAACAACTTATAAAACTCAACACCCAAAAAGCAAATAACCCAATTAAAAAATGGGCAGAGGACATGAACAGACATTTCTCCAAAGATGACATATAGATGCTCATCATTATTTACCATCAGGGAAATGCAAATCGAAATTATAGTGAGATAACACCTCACACCTTTCAGCATGGCTACAATCAACAACAGAAGAAACAACAGGTATTGGTAAGGAAGTGGAAAAAGGGGAAGCCTCCCATGCTATTGGTGGGAATGCAGACACTGGGCGGGGTGCTTCTACTGTGGAAAACAGTATGGAGTTTCCTCAAAAAGCTTAAGTAGAACTACCATATGATCCAGTAATTGCACTGCTGGATCTTTCCTACCCTCCCCAAATACCAAAACATGAATTCGAAGGGATATGTACATCCTTGCGTTTATAGCAGCGTGACTGACGGTAGCTCTTGGATGGAAGCCCAAGTCTCTAAATGTCCACCTACAGATGGATGAATAAAGAAAATGGGGTTTCTCTTGCCGATGGAAAAGTATTCAGCTGCAGAGGAAAATGAAATCTTGCCATTGGCAATGATACGGATAGAGCTAGAGAGTATAATTCTAAGCGAGTCAGTCAGTCAGAGAAAGACAAATACCATATTATTTCACTCATATGTGGAGTTTAAGAAGCAAAACACATGAGCAAAGGGGAAAATATATATATAGAGAGAGAAGAAACCAAGAATCAGACTCCTATTTGGAGAAGGAGGAACCCTCCTACACTGTTGGCGGGAATGCAAGCTGGTGCAGCCACTCTGGAAAACAGCATGGAGGTTCCTCAAAAAGTTGAAAATAGAGCTACCCTATGACCCGACAATTGCACTACTGGGTATTCACCCTAAAGATACAAATATAGTGATCTGAAGCAGCACGTGCACCCGAATGTTTATAGCAGCAATGTCCACAATAGCCAAACTATGGAAAGAACCTAGATGTCCATCAACAGATGAATGGATAAGAAGAGGTGGTATATATATACAATGGAATACTGTGCAGCCATCAAAAGAAATGAAATCTTGCCATTTGCAACGACGTGGATGGAACTAGAGGGTATTATGCTTAACGAAATAGGTCAATTGGAGAAAGACAACTATCATATGATCTCCCTGATATGAGGAAGTGGAGATGCAACGTGGGGGTCTTGGGGGGTAGGAAAAGGATAAATGAAAGAAGATGGGATCGGGAGGGAGACAAACCATAAGAGACTCTAAATCTCACAAAACAAACTGAGGGTGGTGGGGGGGAGGGGTGTAGGGAGCGGGTGGTGGGGTTATGAACATTGGGGAGGGTATGTGCTATGGTGAGTGCTGTGAAGTGTGTAAACCTGGTGATTCACAACCTGTACCCCTTGGTCTAAAAATATATGTTTATAAAAAAATAAAAATTAAAAATAAAAACGAATCAGACTCCTAACTATAGAAAACAAACTGATGGTTACCAGAGCGTGGGTGATGGGTGAAATAGGTGAAGGGGATTAAGGAATTCACTTGTTGTGGTGAGTGCAGGGTGATGTATAGAATTGTTGAATCACTGTTTTACATCAGAAATTAATATAACACTATTTTAGCCACCTGAAATTAAAATAGAAATTTTAAAAAAGATACTGTTTAGGAAATTAAAAGGCAAGCCATACCGTGGAGAAAATACTTAACAGAACATACATCTCACAAGGATTTGTATATAGAACATATAAAGAATTCTTACCACTCAATAATAAGAGAAGCAACCCAACAAAAATGGGCAACAGATTTGAATAGACCTTCATCAAAGCAAATACACAGGTGGAAAGTCAACCCATGAAAAGATGTTTAACATCATTAATCATTAGGAAAATTCACATTAAAACCACAATGAGATAACACCATATGCACTCTAGAATAGTTGACATTAACAAGACTGACCTTATGAAGTGTTGGTGATAATATGAAACCATTGGAACTTTCATACAAGGAAAGAACATAAAATGGCACAATCCCCTTGTAAAACAGTTTGACAGTTTTTTTAAAGAGTTAAAGATACACCTACGATAGGACCTAGCCATTCTACCCCAAAGTATTTACCTGAGAGAAATCATATGAACAAAGGTAGGGGGGAGAGGGAATCCAAAAAAGATACTATTAACCATAGAGAACAGATAGTTACCAGAGAGGAGGTGGGTAGGTGGATGGGTGAAATAAGTGAAGGGGATTAAGAGTACACTTACCTTGATGAGCACTGAGTAATATATGGAATTGCTGAATCACTATATTGTACACCTGAAACTAATATAAGAGTGCATATTAACTATACTGGAATTAAAATTTAAAAAATAAAGTTAAAATGATATATCCAAGACTTATTTACAAATGTTCATGAGGACTATTTGTAATAGAAAAATCTGGGAACCACTCAAGTGTCTACCAGCAGGTGAACAGATAAACAAATGTCATGTGTCCATACTGTGGAAGTCTTCTCAGTCATAAAAAGAAATGCACTAGTGCTCACTTGGGCCCCACATATACTAAAGTTGGAACAATAGAGAGGATTAGCATGGCCCCTGTGCAAAGATGACACACAAATTCACGAAGTGTTCCATATTTTTGAGAGCGCATGGCACACACGTGCATGGGAGAGACAGAGGAATGGATTAAAATAAAACATGAACTTGGAAAATATAGAAAAATAAGCTAAAAAAAAAGAAATGAACTAGTGATACACATGACAACATGAATTTCAATATAATTATGCTGAGTGAAAAGGCAAGGTAGGGTACACAATAGTAGGATTCCATTAAATTCTAGAAAATGGAAACATTTATAGTGACAGTGGATTGGTAGTTGACTGGGGGTAGGGGATGGGAAGGAATTATAAAGGGGGTGATAGATGTTCATTATCTTGGTGTGGTGTTGATTTCAACTGTATATATCAAAACATCAAATTATATGCGTAAAGTAAGTGCAATTTTTTTATGTCAGTTGTACCTTAATAAAACTGAGAAGAAAACAAAAAAATAAAGGAAGTATCAGAGTGGAGAAATAGAGGATAAAAGCTAAATTCTTGGGATATACCTTGTTCTATAGGTTTGACTTTGGACTCATGTCAATATTTTATATGGTTATAAAACAAAATTAAAGTTTTTGAAATCTCAAAATCATTAAAACAACAATAATGATAAAAGAATGTAACTGTATATCCAGGCATAAAAAGCAACTATTCAAAGATCAAAAATAAAACAACTGAAAAACAGTCTTGTTTTTTATTGTTGTTAGTTTTGGTAATGTATTCTGAGACTGTTGGACAAACATATAGATTATATAAAACATAGAATATAGAATATATATAGGACATATAGAACATATAGAATATAGAATAAAGAAAATGAGTAAATACAATGGTGTCATTGAGACATTTTTGGCAGAGGAGAAATGAGAGTTATAAGTAAGATATATGAGGTTTAGTAAAAGCCCCATAGTTCTCAGTAGAAACTCATGACAAGGTTTACCATTTAAATACATATTTTCTAGTTGTGAATGTTGGAAAAGCTAAAACAAAGTGATTTACTAGTAATGAACACCTGCATATTTCAATTTATGGTCTCAAATACTCTTTCCTCCTGAAAGGAACTGGGGGTCCTCAGAGAAATTGTTGATTAGAAGTCTGGGGAAGGAAGTGTACAAACAAGTCTGTAATATCCTGTTATATGAAAAAGAGGAATTTTCAAAGATTTCTACGTCTTGGAGGCCAACTTGAAGTTGCTTATTTGAGGATCAGTAGAGGGATATGAACTGGAATGGACTGATTCACCATCAAGTATATTGAAATCTATGAGTTCATATTAATGCAAAATTAAGAAAAAAACAAATTCTTACATCACTCTTGGAGTATGCAAACTGGTAAATAAAATGGAAGAATCAAACATTTATTTTGCCTTTCCTATACATGTGGATTACTAAATGTCAATATGGGGAAGTTTCTCTGTGTGGAATTATCCCAGCTAATAAATGGCAGGCAGAGCAACAGTAGAATTGCAATATCATGATTTTGCTATGCCTAAATGAAATATGGTCCTAGGTGATGATCACCAACAGCTGGTAACATAAAAAAAAAAAAAAGAGAGACAACTGGACAATATGAGCCTCCTGATGGAAAACCATACCACAATCTATGAAGTAGACTTTAGATCTTGTGGAATATAGTCTCCCATTAACACGTTCAGCCATTCTCTGGGTTAGTTGTATAGCTTAGCCATAGTTATTGGTCTGTGACAAAGTGAGGTGTGAGAAGGTAGTGAAAGGAGCTTGTATTGCCTGTTTTTTAACACTGAAGCTTCTGTATCATCTTCAAGAATGGAGGTGGTGCTAAATGTCAACAAGGAAATCTGATCACTTTTGTAAGCCCAGAAGGTTCAGGGAAATTTGGGAACTTAAGATCTTCAAGTGCTTCAATCCAGATGTCTCCATCTCATATCTCAGGGTCTCCTTCTCTCCCAACTAGGGCCCTGACCTTGGCATGGCAGAACTACTCAGGCTGAATGAATAACCACCTCTGGAGCTCTGCTCCTCCTCTGACGAAGTCCTAGCCTTGGTCCTCAGCTTTATTTAACCTTTAAGAGAGTCCATTTCTATGCTGCCAGTGAAACCTCTGACTTTTACATCTGTCCTTTAATATCTGATTTATCAACCTCAGCTTTTCATTATGTTTTCCCCAAATCATCAATTCCTCCCAGCTACATTCAATTTCATTTTCCTTATAATTACGATTAACTGCTTTCACAGATATGTAGTATGGAAAATATGTCCCAGGGAGCATTAATTTCTTACAGGTTTTCCAAAAAAATTCTCTCCAACTTTTATCCATGAATTCCCAAGAATATCTGTTTTATCTAAGAACTTAAGAGACTGCCAGTGAAACTGAAGCTGTGACTAAATTGGGCTCTCCTTCTATTGAAAAATTGACAAAGCCGTGTTGTCTGTCCTACATGTATAGGTAAAATATAGTTGTCCAGACTGCATTAAAAACTTTTTTAAAATTTATTTTATTTTATTTTTTAATCCAAATTCAATTAATTAACATGTATTTTTGGTTTCAGAGGTAGAAGTCAGTGACTCATCAGTCTTATATAATACCCAGTGACTGCATTGAAAATCTTAAAGAAGAGTACTAACACACTGAATTTTTGTACAGGAAAGTGTTGGTTTATTTTGGCATAGAGTTATAACATAAGAAAATTTGGGGATTAAGAATTATAAAAGAATCCACTGGACAATTAAGAGAGACTATAAAAATCTGTAATGTAGAAATACTGCAATCGAACTTTAGCCCCTTGAGCTTGATGAGTTGGTGCCTCAAAATTAAGGAGAATTTGGGAGAATTGGTCAATACAACAGTTGGTATGTTGTAAGAAAATTCACACTTGGATGAAAGGGAGAGGTCCACAAGTAGAATTTGGACTGAGGCCAGAATATGCTCATAGTGTCAGTGGGACACTGATGGGCTCATTAGAATAATGAGACCAAACTCAGTTGAGCAACATTAACCCCATTTCATGTGTCCTAAAGGTCAGCACAAAAAGGGTCCTTACAAAAAGAGTCTATATCTGGGGGGCAGAGGTAAGCAGAGATGGTAGTCAGAGGGCAGGGAGCTCAACAGCAAGAGGAGGCACAGCACATGGGGCGGGGGCAGGTGGAGATGACACAGGTGGGGCGATAGCAGGTGGTGTGGCAGGAGACCTGGCCACAGACTGGGCGCAGGCAGCAGGAGGGGCAGCAGCAGGAGGGGCGGCAGCAGCTGGAGCCACAGCAGCTGGAGCCACAGCAGGAGGGGCGGCAGCAGCTAGTGCCACAGCAGCTGGAGCCACCACAGCTGGATCCACAGCAGGAGGGGCGGCAGCAGCTGGAAATGCAGCAGCTAGGCCTGCAGCAGCTGGAGCCACAGCAGCTGGAACCACAGCAGGAGGGCTGGCAGCAGCTGGACACACAGCAGGTAGGGCGGCAGCAGGTGGTCTGGCAGCAGGAGGGGCGGCAGCAGCTAGAGATGCAGCAGCTGGGCCTGCAGCAGCTGGAGCCACAGCAGCTGGAACCACAGCAGGTGGGGCGGCAGCAGGTGGTCCTACAGCAGGTGGTCTGGCAGCAGCTGGGGTGGCAGCAGGTCTCCTGGCCACAGCTCTGGTTTGAGCAGACGGAGCCACAACAGGAGTTGACCATGGTGTCAGTGGGAGGAGTGGGGTTCCACAAGTGGGTATAAGTGGGTTTCCACAAGAGTGGTTTCTTGAGTTTGAAAGTCTCCTCACCTCTGTCCCCTTTTATACTCTGCTGAGTAGCTGATGTTATCACAAAGAGCATTCTTGTTTTTCCTACCAGGAAGCAATTAGTGTTACAAGTTAATAATTATGTTTATTTGGTTAAATATGCCGATATCTGAGAAAAGCATCATTTCCCTTTTTCTGCAGCATTGTGATTCACTGAACCACATTTGCATATTTTTCTGTATATTGTATCTTATATGTTGGAACTGTCATATAATATTCTATTATTGACTTTTTCCATGTGTCCCATTTTTGTGTATGACTCCAGTGGTCATATTTTAATTTAATTCAAATATAGTTAACATACAGTGTTACATTAGTTTCTGGTGTATGATATAGTGATTCAGCAATTCCATACATCACCCAGTGCTCATTACAAGTGCACTCCTTAATTCCTATCACCTGTTTCACCTAGTGATGAGTCTCCTCCTATTTCCTTATCAGCACCCCACCTGACAGTAGCACTTTTCCACTTTGCCCCCCCCCCAAAAAAAGAGAGAGACTGTCGTTGTGATAATAATCCTCAAAATATGATCAAGGATTTAATTCCTCTTTTTCCATGATCATATTTTGAGGATGGCTTTTATAGTGCCAAGTCTCTCTCTCTCACTCTCTCTCTCTTTTGGTCAAAGTGGAAAAATGCATTCTAGTGTCAGGTGGAGTACTGATAAGGAAATAGGAGGAAAGACTCATCACTGGGGTTACTTGTCTACAAATAATGGGAGGACTGGACTGTATTTCCTGGATGATTGGAGAGTCAGGGCATCACAGTGTCTAAATTCATTGTAATGACTCCTCCTCAAGATATAGCTTTGACTCATTCCTTTTTGATGAAAGAACAATTTTCAGAAATGAACTTTTTCCTTCAGGAATCTTCACATATAGTATGGTAAAGGTGAGCATGTTTGATCTTTCTTTTGATTGTCCAACATATGTAATAGATTCTGCATTATAAATAAAGTTTTATTTAAAGCATCTTTTTCTTGTGTGCTTTCCATAATTCAAATTCAAGTCATTCTGCTTAAAGAAGATATAAACAGATAAGCCTTGCTGTTTGTATGGGCACTTAACTATGATATATTGAAAGACAAAATTTGGGCAAATATTCCAAGCACTGAAGAATTAGTGTCAAAAACAAGCATTATGTATTTAAGGCTTATTTACCTACAGTGAGAAATGAGATATTACAGATACTGTTTATGAGTGCTTTCCATGTGCCAGATAGTCTTCTGAATGCTTTGTAATTACTTTTTTGATTTTTCTTCTTAAAGAACCCATGAAGTACTCCTTATGCTCTAAGAGTTCACATAGAGATGTGTTAGGTTGCTGAGTCTTATGAAGTGTATACCTTTGATTTTGCTATTAAATCTTCTTAGAAAGTTCATTCTCCCACATCAAATCAGCAATTCCAGGGCGCCTGGGTGGCTCAGTGGGTTAAAGCCTCTGCCTTCAGCTCAGGTCATGGTCCCAGGGTCCTGGGATCGAGCCCCGCATCAGACTCTCTGCTCAGCAGGGAGCCTGCTTCCCTTCCTCTCCCTGCCTGCCTCTCTGCCTACTGTTTCCTTTGCTGTGCAGAAGCTTTTGATTTTGATGAAGTCCCAAAAGTTTATTTTGGCTTTTGTTTCCTTTGCCTTTGGAGACATATCTTGAAAGAAGTTGCTGTGGCTGATATTGAAGAGATTACTGCCTATGTTCTCCTCTAGGACTCTGATGGATTCCTGTCTCACGTTGAGGTCTTTTATCCATTTTGAGTTTATCTTTGTGTATGGTGTAAGAGAATGGTCGAGTTTCACCCCCCTACATACAGCTGCCCAGTTTTCCCAGCACCATTCATCGGAGAGACTTTCTTCCACTGTATATTCTTTCCTGTTCTGTCAAAGATTAACTGACCATAGAGTTGAGGGTCTACATCTGGGCTCTCCACTCTGTTCCACTGAACCGTCTTGCACTGTTGGTGGGAATGCAAGTTGGTGCAGCCTCTTTGGAGAGCAGTGTGGAGATTCCTCAAGAAATTAAAAATGGAACTTCCCTGTGACCCTGCAGTTGCACTGCTGGGTATTTACCCCAAAGATACAAATGTGGTGGAAGGAAGGGCCATCTGTACCCCAATATTTATAGCAGCGATGGCCACGGTTGCCAAACTGTGGAAGGAGCCAAGATGCCCTTCAGCGGACAAATGGATAAGGAAGATGTGGTCCGTATACACTATGGAGTGTTGTGCCTCCATCAGAAAGGATGAATGCCCAAATTTGTAGCAACATGGATGGGACTGGAAAAGATTATGCTGAGTGAAATAAGTCGGGCAGAGAGAGTCAATTATATGGTTTCACTTATTTGTGGAGCATAAGGAATGGCATGGAGGACATGGGGAGTTAGGAGAGGGGAGTTGGGGGAGATTGGAAGGGGAGGTGAACAGTGGGAGACTGTGGACTCTGAAGAACAATCTGAAGGGTTTGAAGGGGTGGGAGGGCGGGAGGTTGGGGGTGCCAGGTGGTGGGTATTGGGGAGGGCACGGATTGCATGGAGCACTGGGTGTGGTGCAAGGACAGTGGATGCTGTTATGCTGAAAATAAATTAAAAAAAATGATTAAAAAAAAACCCCAAAAATAAAAAAATAAAAAATCAAGCATATGGCATACAAGTATTAGTAAATGAAAATGCATACTTCTTTTAAAAAATAGTTTTTAGGAATCCCTCTTTAAAATTTAAATGTTGTTTTGCAATTGTGGAAAGTATTTGTAGTTCCAAAATAAATTCAACAAATTGAAGCATGTTTAAGGAAGTGTTGTTATTTCTATTCCTTCCTTCCCCCACAGAGAATCATTTTTATAATGTAAAGTTTTCCTTCCCATGGCTATTTTTTAAAAATTTTTTTTAAAACATTTTTAAAATTTATTTTCAGCATAACAGTATTCATTGTTTTTGTACCACGCCCTGTGCTCCATGCAATCCGTGCCCTCTCTAATACCCACCACCTGGTTCCCCCAATTGCCCACTCCCCCACCTCTTCAAACCCTTCAGATTGTTTTTCAGAGTCCATAGTCTCTCATTGTTCACCTCCCCTTCCAATTTCCCCCAAATGCCTTCTCCTAACTCCCCATGTCCTCCATGCTATTTGTTATGCTCCACAAATAAGTGAAACCATATGATAATTGACTCTCTCTGCTTGACTTATTTCACTCAGCATAATCTCTTCCAGTCCCGTCCATGTTGCTACAAAAGTTGGGTATTCATCCTTTCTGATGGAGGCATAATACTCCATAGTGTATATGGACCACATCTTCCTTATCCATTCGTCCGTTGAAGGGCATCTTGGTTCTTTCCACAGTTTGTCAACCGTGGCCATTGCTGCTATAAACATTGGGGTACAGATGGCCCTTCTTTTCACTACATCTGTATCTTTGGGGTAAATACCCAGTAGTGCTATTGCAGGATCATAGGGTAGCTCTGTTTTTAATTTCTTAAGGAATCTCCACACTGTTTTCTAAAGTGTCTGTATTAACTTGCATTCCCACCAACAATGTAAGAGGGCTCCTCTTTCTCCACATCCTCTCCAACACTTGTTGTTTCCTGTCCCGATAATGTTGGCCATTTTAACTGGGGTAAGGTTGTATCTCAATGTGGGTTTGATTTGAATCTCCTTGATGGCTGATGATGATGAACATTTTTTCATGTGTCTGCTAGCCATTTGTATGTCTTCTTTGGAGAAGTGTCTGTTCATGTCTTCTGCCTATTTTTTGACATGATTATCTGTTTTTTGGGTGTTGAGATTGAGGAGTTCTTTATAGATCTTGGATATCAGCCCTTTGTCTGTATTGTCATTTGCAAAGATCTTCTCCCATTCTGTGGATTGCCTCTTTGTTTTGTTGACTGTTTCCTTTGCTGTGCAGAAGCTTTTGATCTTAATGAAGTCCCAAAAGTTCATTTTCCCTTTTGTTTCCTTTGCCTTTGGGGATGTGTCTTGAAAGAAGTTGCTGTGGCTGATGTCGAAGAGGTTACTGCCTATATTCTCCTCTAGGATTTTGATAGATTCCTGCCTCATGTTGAGATCTTTCTTCCACTTTGAGTTTATCTTTGTGTATGGTGTGAGAGAATGGTCGAGTTTCATTCTTCTATATGTAGTCCAATTTTCCCAGCACCATTTATTGAAGGGACTTTTTTTTTTTTTTGAAATTGTACTGTATCTATGTGGTCAGTCTGTATCCATCACATTAATACTGTCTCTTGCCTGTTCATTATTCATTCTTAGTTCTGCAGATAATAAGTATGCATTTCTCATATATATTCAGCCCATAATATATTTATATATCTCCCTCTGCTAGTCTTCATGAAGATTATCCCTCCCATACCTTCACTGATCTTGTTGGTTTAAAGCTCATTCACTAATAAATCCCTTAGAATATGTCCACAGAAAGATTATCCCCTGAGGTCTCTCATGTTCACAGTAGTTTATTTGTAGCATGGAACTTGGTTTGGCTGGATATAAAATGCTGGGATCATGTTTTCTTTCCTTGTATGTCTTAAGAATGTTACTTTATTTATCTTCTGATGGGAAGTGTTGCCGTCAAAATGCATGAATGTGATCTTGTTTCCTTTTCCTTTTAACTGACATGGATATTTTGCCTAGATATTCAAATGTTTTTTCTTTGAAATCCAATAGTTTTGGATCATCATAATATAATACAATGTAATAAAATATATCATATATTATAAATTTATTATGTCTCAGTTTTTACCACCATGGCCTGATTTTTCCAGGTACATAGAACTGTTCCTTTATTTGAATTATAATTCTTAGTATGTTTTATTGCTTTGTTTCTCCCTTTGGGATATCTATTACATATATTCTCTACTTTTTTTTTTTTTTTTTGCAGTATGGGAACCCAGCCTTCTGTTAGTTCTCACCCCAAGTGAGTAACTGATGAATTAGCTCCATTCTTTTCTTCATCAGTGAATGTATCTCTCCCCCCTCTCCTAACTTGGCAACCTTACTGTGGCTCTATGGTTGAAGGGTGGGGTACATCATTAGTAAAACTGTCCTTTGGAAACTGTGTCCCCATATGTATCACAGATACTTTCATCTGAAGAGAGGCTTCACAGCTCAGTCTTTTCATACAAGTAAAAGCACAGAGAAAAAATATTGTGTAGAAACCTGAGTGGACAAATGTATAGAAAAAACTTTACTATTTACTAAAAAAGTAAATAACTCTACTGGAATATCTGCTCTATTACTGTAGAGAGCATTCTGTGTGTTGGTCTCTGCCTTTACTCCAGTACTTTTAACTGTGCCTCCCAAGTAATAAATGCTCAATAAATACTATTTGGATGAATGAATGAAGAAATTGGCTTTTGGGAGGGTCAATGAAAGCAGACGCACTTTCCAGTGAAAACACTGGGTCCCCATTTTCCCATGGAAGCAATTGACAGGAACTCAGGAATACCCTCTTATGTGGTCATGCAGTCTACACATTGCCCCAGTTTCCACCAAACACTTCATCTTATTAAGGGCATGCTTTACTCATCTAGGCAAACTGCCTGTCCCTTGAATTCATAAGGATCTGAAACTTCTCTATCAAAAGGAAAAAAAATGAGACTTGACTAAAGCCCTATCATAAATAGAGTCAGAATCAGTGGAAATTTGATTTGCTGCGTGGATGACACCAGTGTCATTGAGTTCAAGTCCAAATACGAATCTGTAGACTCTGCTGAGCAATAGATTGCATAGCTATGGTGGCTGGTGTGATGCATGAAACATGTATTGTGTTATTTTTGCTTTTATCTACCTACAGTCTTCCAAACTTCTAGTATTCACTTTTTTGTTTATTTTCCTAGGACAGGTTCATAGTGTTAGGTGATTTGCCCATGAAATAAGGAGGCACATATGAAAGATTCAGGCAGTGAATAATGGAAACTATTTATTGAGCAGTGACAAGACCATATGTGTTTGCTGCAGGTGTAAGTCAAATACAGTTGCCTACCAGCTGAAGACAAAATCTTAAGAGAGCAGTAATCACACTGAATTGTTAATGCAGGGAATTGTAACTTTATTTTGGTACAAAAATATATCAGGTTACAGTAAAGGCCTAGAAAAGGGAAGTTAGGAGAATGATTTCACCAATTGTCAAAGGGTAAAATTTGTTACTGTATAAGCAACTGTGTAAGCAAGCTCCATGCCACATCCATCTTCTTCAACAGTGTGATTGGTTCCTCCATGGAATCAAGGCCCAATTCAGTTGAGCAGCATCATTTCCACTCCATGTGTTTAAAAAGCACAAAAGGAGGGTCTACAAATGTGGGACAGAGGTAAACAAAGTTGGTAGTCACAGGGAAGGGTCTCAACAGCAAGAGGAGGCACAGCACATGGGGCGGGGGCAGGTGGAGATGACACAGGTGGGGCGATAGCAAGTGGTGTGGCAGGAGACCTGGCCACAGACTGGGCGCAGGCAGCAGGAGGGGCAGCAGCAGGAGGGGCAGCTGCAGCTGGAGCCACAGCAGCTGGAGCCACAGCAGGAGGGGCGGCAGCAGCTAGAAATGCAGCAGGAGGGGCGGCAGCAGCTAGTGCCACAGCAGCTGGAGCCACCGCAGTTGGATCCACAGCAGGAGGGGCGGCAGCAGCTGGAAATGCAGCAGCTAGGCCTGCAGCAGCTGGAGCCACAGCAGCTGGAACCACAGCAGGAGGGCTGGCAGCAGCTGGACACACAGCAGCTGGGGCGGCAGCAGGTGGTCCTGCAGCAGGTGGTCTGGCAGCAGCTGGGGCAGCAACAGGTCTCCTTGCCACAGCCCTGGTCAGAGCAGATGGAGCCACAACAGGAGTTGACCATGATGTCAGAAGGTGGAGGTTCTGATATTAGGAAGAGAGTGAGTTTAGTGAATTTGAAAATCCCTGTGCTGCTTGTCCTCTTTTATACTCTGCTGAAGCTGCTGTGTTTTTATCCTGGACCATTTCCTAGTTTTCTTTTCCTGAAGAAGTATTAGTCATTAAATTAAATCACTGTGTTTTTCTGGTTAAATATTTTCAGATGAGGAAAAATAAGATATCCTGTTCTGGGTATGTTAAGGTTTCCAATCTGGTTATTCTCAAAATTGTCTTTCCTATTTTCTTTTTTTTTATTATTATTTTTATTTTTTTTTAAATTTTCAACATAACAGTATTCCTTGTTTTTGCACCACACCCAGTGCTCCATGCAATCCGTGCCCTAATACCCACCACCTGGTTCCCCCAACCTCCCAACCCCCCTCAGATTGTTTTTCAGAGTCCATAGTCTCTCATGGTTCACCTCCCCTTCCAATTTCCCCCAACTCCCTTCTCCTCTCTAACTCCCCTTGTCCTCCATGTTATTTGTTATGTTCCACAAATAAGTGAAACCATATGATAATTGACTCTCTCTGCTTGACTTATTTCACTCAGCATAATCTCTTCCAGTCCCGTCCATGTTGCTACAAAAGTTGGGTATTCATCCTGATGGAGGCATAATACTCCATAGTGTATATGGACGACATCTTCCTTATCCATTCATCTGTTGAAGGGCATCTTGGTTCTTTCCACAGTTTGGTGACCGTGGCCATTGCTGCTATAAACATTGGGGTACAGATGGCCCTTCTTTTCACTACATCTGTATCTTTGAGGTAAATACCCAATAGTGCAATTGCAGGGTCATAGGGAAGCTCTATTTTTACTTTCTTGAGGAATCTCCACACTGTTCTCCAAAGTGGCTGCACCAACTTGCATTCCCACCAACAGTGTAAGAGGGTTCCCCTTTCTCCACATCCCCTCCAACACATGTTGTTTCCTGTCTTGCTAATTTTGGCCATTCTAACTGGTGTAAGGTGATACCTCAATGTGGTTTTAATTTCAATCTCCCTGATGGCTAGTGATGATGAACATTTTTTCATGTGCCTGATAGCCATTTGTATGTCTTCATTGGAGAAGTGTCTGTTCATATCTTCTGCCCATTTTTTGATATGATTATCTGTTTTGTGTGTGTTGAGTTTCAGGAGTTCTTTATAGATCCTGGATATCAATATTTTGTCTGTACTGTCATTTGCAAATATCTTTTCCCATTCCGTGGGTTGCCTCTTTGTTTTCTTGACTGTTTCCTTTGCTGTGCAGAAGCTTTTGATTTTGATGAAGTCCCAAAAGTTTATTTTGGCTTTTGTTTCCTTTGCCTTTGGAGACATATCTTGAAAGAAGTTGCTGTGGCTAATATTGAAGAGGTTACTGCCTATGTTCTCCTCTAGGATTCTGATGGATTCCTGTCTCACATTGAGGTCTTTTATCCATTTTGAGTTTATCTTTGTGTATGGTGTAAGAGAATGGTCGAGTTTCATTCTTCTACATATAGCTGTCCAGTTTTCCCAGCACAATGTATTGAAGAGACTGTCTTTTTTCCACTGTATATTTTTTCCTGTTTTGTCAAAGATTATTTGACCATAGAGTTGAGGGTCCATATCTGCTTTGAAATTGGAGCTCAATCACAAGGAAAAGTTCAGAAGGAACTCAGACACCTGGAAGCTAGAGACCACCTTGCTTAAGAATGCTTGGATCAACCAGGAGATCAAAGAAGAACTGAAACAATTCATGGAAACCAATGAGAATGAAGACACTTCGGTCCAAAACCTATGGAATACAGCAAAGGCGGTCCTAAGGGGGAAATACATAGCCATCCAAGCCTCCCTCAAAAAAATTGAAAAATCCAGAACACACCAGCTGTCTCTACACCTTAAAGAACTGGAGAATCAACAACAAATCAAACCAACTCCATACATAAGAAGGGAAATAATCAAGATTAGAGCCGAGATCAATGAGGTAGAAACCAGAGATACAGTAGAACGTATCAATGAAACTAGAAGCTGGCTTTTTGAAAGAATCAATAAGATCGATAAACCATTGGCCACACTAATCCAAAAGAAAAGAAAGCCCAAATTTATAAAATTATGAATGAAAAGGGAGAGATCACAACTAACACCAAGGAAGTAGAAACAATCATCAGAAGTTATTATCAACAGTTATATGCCAATAAGCTAAGCAACCTAGATGAAATGGATGCATTCCTGGAAAACTATAAACTCCCAAAATTGAACCAGGAAGAAATTGACAACCTGAATAGACCGATATCTAGTAACGAGATTGAAGCAGTGATCAAAAACCTCCCAAAAAACAAGAGCCCAGGACCTGATTGATTCCCTGGGGAATTCTACCAAACTTTCAAAGAAGAAATAACACCTATTCTCCTGAAGCTGTTTCAAAAAGTTGAAGCAGAAGGAAAACTTCCAGACTCTTTCTATGAAGCCAGCATTACCCTGATCCCCAAACCAGGCAAAGACCCTACCAAAAAGGAGAATTTCAGACCAATATCACTGATGTATATGGATGCTAAGATTCTCAACAAGATCCTAGCAAACAGGATCCAACAGCACATTAAAAAGATTATCCACCATGACCAGGTGGGATTCATTCCTGGGCTACAAGGATGGTTCAACATTCGCAAATCAATCAGTGTGATAGAACAAATTAATAAGAGAAGAGAGAAGAACCACATGGTCCTCTCAATTGATGCAGAAAAAGCATTTGACAAAATCCAGCATCCGTTCCTGATTAACACGCTTCAAAGTATAGGGATAGAGGGAACATTCCTGAACTTCATAAAATCTATCTGTGAAAGACCCACAGCAAATATCATCCTCAATGGGAAAAAGCTTGCAGCCTTCCCGTTGAGATCAGGAACATGACAAGGATGCCCACTCTCACCACTCTTGTTCAACATAGTATTAGAAGTCCTAGCAACAGCAATCAGACAACAAAGAGAAATAAAAGGTATGCAAATTGGCAATGAAGAAGTCAAACTCTCTCTCTTTGCAGATGACATGATTCTTTATATGGAAAACCCAAAATACTCCACACCCAAACTACTAGAACTCATACAGCAATTCAGTAACATGGCAGGATACAAAGTCAATGTACAGAAATCAGTGGCTTTCTTATACACTAACAATGAAAATACAGAAAGGGAAATTAGAGAATCGATTCCATTTACTATAGCACCAAGAACCATAAGATACCTGGGAATAAACCTAACCAAAGAGGTAAAGGATCTGTACTTGAGGAACTACAGAACACTCATGAAAGAAATTGAAGAAGACACAAAAAGATGGAAGACCATTCCATGCTCTTGGATCGGAAGAATAAACATTGTTAAAATGTCTATACTGCCTAGAGCAATCTATACTTTTAATGCCATTCTGATCAAAATTCCACCAGCATTTTTCAAAGAGCTGGAGCAAATAATCCAGAAATTTTTATGGAACCAGAAGAGACCCCGAATCACTAAGGAAATGTTGAAAAACAAAAATAAAACTGGGGGCATCACGTTACCTGATTTCAAGCTTTACTACAAAGCTGTGATCACCAAGACAGCATGGTACTGGCATAAAAACAGACACATAGACCAGTGGAACAGAGTAGAGAGCCCAGATATGGACCCTCAACTCTTTTCTATTGTCTTGTTTGTCAAAAGGGCCCATTGCATGGGTTCCATCATTGAGGTTTACCTGTGATCTGGGTATCACTCCATGATGTTGTTTGGACAAATTATTCACATGATGCCAGGGTCTTTTTGATGTCAAAAGAGAGGTAGAGAAGTGAGTTGGGGGAAATTGGAGGGGGAGACGAACCATGAGAGACTGTGGACTCTTAGAAACAAATGGAGGGTTTTGGAAGGAAGAGGGGGTGGGAGGTTGGGTGAATCTGGTGGTGGGTTTTATGGAGGGCACATATTGCATGGAGCACTGGGTGTGGTACCTAAAGAATGAATTCTGGAACACTGAAAAGAAATTTAAATAAGTAAATAAATAAATATTTAAAAATTTGCTAGGGAAAAAAAAAGAGAGAGGTAGAATTATAGTAGGGGATAGAAAAAAGTTCATCTTTATGAGAAACCTGTGGGCTATGAGGAAGACAGACCCTATCTGTGAGTCATAAATTCTCATCAGAGAATAGACTCTGGCTGTTTCAAAGTATGTGCAAGGTATCACTTCCTGTGTTCAATTTGAAACCATTACCAACAACTCATTATTTGTAAATATTAAAAAATATTTGGAGCTTCTTTGAAGGGACTCTCACTGGTCCACTATGGGACAGCTTCAGTAGCAAAATGAATAGTGATAGTAATGGATTTTAACCCATTAAAAAAACCCACAAGTCCATATTGAGACTAATTAAAGAAATGAAAAGAAAGATGAGGAAGTTATCCATGGTAGTAGAATGTCAACTAATAAATGTAGAAGGAAAAACTGAGTTTAAAAAAAATCACCATTTACCCCTCATAATAACTTGATTCAGGTAAATATCATCAATGGAGGCTACAGCGAATAGGTGAAAGTTTGTTGGGGGACAAGATATTTGGACATTTTAAAAATATCTCCTCATTGGTCATTTATTAATTTCAAAGGGGAAAATGCTAACTTTGCTGTGGAGAAACTTGAGAAAAAAAGCTTAACCATGGGATCAATGTTAGCATTGTTAATAATAAGACAAATGGTCACGTGTCTCCCTAAGTCACACACTGAAAGGACACATCATGTATGTAGTATTCCTGTCAAAATGCATCACCCAAATGTTCTTGGAATCGTCAGAAACAAAAGCAAAAATCATACCACACAGAAATAACTGCTATGAAAGGAAAACTCAGAATTAAAGAAGCAGTAAGCCCAAGGAAAAGAAACCACACACAGGTTACATGGGATGTCCACAGGAAAAATGTTACAAAGTATGCAAGAGGGAAAAATATTACAAAATATGCAAGAGGGTATTCCACCATGAGCAGCATAGTAGATTCAAGAAAAGAAAATGTAACCTCAAGAATTGAGATAATTGAAGATTATGAAGACTATAAATAAATTGGAGTTCAAAGAGGTTCTTAAATCTGTGGTTTGATGTTTCCATCACTTTTGTTAAATTGCCCATCATCTATCTCTTTGTTTATAGCTTCTTTCCTGTTCTCTTTTCCTGGGACTCAAGTTTATGTGTACATTTGATCTTCTTTCACTTTGTTCCATGTGTACCTCATGCTCTTGTCTGTATTTTTAAACCTTTTTTCTTTTTGTATTTTAGTGTGGATATTTTCTATTTCCGGTGTGCTCTTTCTTCTGTCCAATCTGCTAAACCCCTTTATTGAGTTCTGAGTTTCGGGTTTTGAATTTTTTAATTCTAGGATTTTCACTAGACTTTTCATTTTTGTTTTTATTTTTGTTTTTACATATTTTGGTTCTCTGATAAAATTTGCCATTTTTTCATCTATTACTTTAAATATATTAATCATAGTTATTTTAAAGTTAGTTTTAATTGTTTATATGGATCATTTCTGAGTATATTTCTACTGTATTTTCCTTGGTTTTATTAATTTGATCCTTTTTTCCTCTGGCATATCTATTTTTAATTGAATACCAGACATTTTATATGAAAAAACTGGAGAGGCCTAAGGTGACTTTATCTTCCAACGTAAAGGATTTAATTTTCTTCTAAGACTATGGGACGCTCAATCCTGCCTGCATAGATCAATTCCCAGTGCTTAAAATCAATTATTCTCTTAATTTTATCCAGTTCTTATAGTTATCCTCATTGAGAGGTTCAGTCTGATACCAGCTACTTTGTCATAGCTGGATGTAGAATTCTGTCCTTTGATTTTTTTTTTTTTTCAAGTTGCCACTCTTTTTTGGACACTGTGTTCTATTACTTGCCTTCCCTCTGACTATTCCTTTCCAGTGCCTGTGTTTGCTCTTGCTCTTCCTTCAGCTTTCCCATAGCCCAAGTTATAGATGTCTGCTCTGTAGACATTTCCTATGACCCGGGAAATCACCTGCAGGCCCGAAGCATTAAAACCCGTTTTCAGATTTGTGAGCACCTCTCTTACATACTGTAGTTGGCAAGCTCTATGATGACAGCTGGTACTCACGTCCTTGTGTGATCCCTTCCCCTTGAGTGTGAGCTAGACATGGTGATTCATTTGGAAAATAATGGAATTCAGCAGTACTAAGAATATGTCACTCTCAAGATTAGGTTATTATAAGCTTGTGGCTTCCATCTTGGGTTTTCTTGCTACTTTTCTCACTTTCTTAGATTACTTGCTCTGGGGGGAGCCAGATGGCATGGTGCCTGAACAGCCCACATGGTGAGTGAGGAACTGGTCCCCTGCCAGCAGCCATGTGAGCGAGCTTGGAAGTAGATTTTTCTGCCTTCATAGGAATACAGCCCTGGTCAACGGACTTGCCGGCAATCTCAAGAGAGAGCCCAACTTGCCACTTTTGGATTGCTAACCCTCAGAAAGTATGTGAGATAATAAATGTTTGTTGTTTTAAGCTACCAGATTTTAGGATAACTTGTTACACAACAAGTGTAGATAACTAATATGCAAACCAAGTCCATGTGTGTGAAATTCTGGATTTTCCATTAAATCCAGGGTGGGGCTTTTTTGTTGTTGTTGTTATTGTTTTCTTTCCAATTCTTCCACCTACACTCTTTTTCTTTAAGATTTTCTTTATTGTTAAAGAAAAAGTACTGATAGAGCCTCTCTCTCTAAAAAAAAAAAAAAAGACAAAAACCAACCCAAATTTTTATGCTTAAGCCAACTGATGGTGCAACTAATTTTCATCTACCATCTCAGATCTATTAGGAATTTTGTAACTTGAGTGGAGTTGAGAAATAATGTCCCTAGGCAAGTTAAATTAATTTATGGAGTTAAACACAATCATGACTCAGTCCCACTGTATTACTTATTAGCTCTGCAACTCTCAGAATATGCATTTAGTACAAAGCTTGCTAAATCTTTCTCCTGCTTTCACTAGCATGAGTTCATCAGAAATTTATTTTTAATTCTATTTTTTTTTTTTAACTGGGATAGAGTCCATAAGGATTTGGGAGTATTCTGGGCTTACTAAGAACCAAACTAGTACGTTGATTGGTTTCTTGTCAGTCCCACACTCCTCATAATATTTGTTGACAAAGTGCTCCTAAACATGGCTATAAGTACACATCCCAGAAAAGTCATTAAGAGAGGGAAATATTAAAATTTGAGTACTTTCCATTTTCTGCTATGCTCCAACTACTCAGGGTGATTGATTTTCCTGAAAGATCATTATTTTGTTAATTGTTGGAGATGAAGTTAGAGAAGCTGAGAGGGTAATAAATTGGATTACATAGGAGATGGATAGACCATAAGGAGGACCCCCTGGTTTTCCAAGAAAAGGGAAGAAAAAGGGAGTTGGGGGAAAGGAAGGGAGACAGAGGGATGAGACATCTTTCAGGAGTGGAATTGTAGGGCAAAGTAGGCTTTCAGAAATATTGAAGAAAGGCTTGCTGTGCTATACAACTCTTCTCATCCATGCCCCCGAATTTTTTACATAAAAATCTTTATGATTCTTCAGTGCATTTGGACATTCTGTATATTGTTATTTCTGTGTTAATTGGTTGGTTGGTTTTTAATGTCACACTCCACGTTCAGATTTTCCTGAAGGTGAGAACAGGGACTAGAAAACCTGATACAGTGGCATGTTGGCTATAATTTCCCAGGAAATGAGGACACTGCCAAACAGCAGACACAAGAACATTGTATTTCTAGGCCAAGAAAGTGGAGCTTTATTCAAAAGTAGCAATAAAATACGGAAATCTTCCTATAAAAGGAACACAGACTTTTGGATTTGAGGCTGTGACAGCAGTGCCCTTGCAGGCTCTGCTGGAATTTCTGTGTTTGGGGCAGGGTGACATGGTGCCCAGAAATCAAAAGGTCAGAAATAGAATTTGGGCAATTCTAGTAATTTCTTTCTATGAATATCACCTAATTTCATATTCTGGGCCCACTTGAGGAAAAGGTGAGAGTTTGGCCTGAGGCTGGGATGTAGACACATAGTTGCTAGGAATGGCCACCTCCAAGGTATCCATATGGTGTATGGAGTCTGTTGCTATGATGAACCCAATGAAGGGAGAGGGTGGGTTCGGGAAGGGGCTCAGCAGCAGGAGGAGGCACAGCACATGGGGCGGGGGCAGGTGGAGATGACACAGGTAGGGCGATAGCAAGTGGTGTGGCAGGAGACCTGGCCACAGACTGGGCGCAGGCAGCAGGAGGGGCAGTAGCAGGAGGGGCGGCAGCAGCTGGAGCCACAGCAGGAGGGGTGGCAGCAGCTAGAAATGCAGCAGGCAGGGCGGCAGCAGCTGGAGCCACAGCAGCTGGAACCACAGCAGGAGGGCTGGCAGCAGCTGGACACACAGCAGCTGGGGCGGCAGCAGGTGGTCCTGCAGCAGGTGGTCTGGCAGCAGGTGGGGCGGCAGCAGCTAGAGATGCAGCAGCTGGGCCTGCAGCAGCTGGAACCACAGCTGGAAGGGCAGCAGCATGTTTCCTGGCAGAGGCCATGACCGCAGCCCTGGCCAGAGCAGACAGAGTCACAAGAGGAATTAACCATGGTGTCAGAGGGTGGAAGTTGTGGGTGTGTTTCCAAGAGAGTGAGTTTGGAGGTGTCCTTGCCACATGACTCCTTTTATACCCTGCTTAGGGACTTCTGTGATTATGAAAAGACGATTTCCTTCATTTTGTTTATATGACTACAAATGCAGTTAGTAAATTAAATCATTATATTTTTCTAGTAAAAACTCCCCATGAATAGAAAATAGTTATTTCCCTTTTCTCAAGTTCCCCAGGGTTTTCATGTGAATCACTTCTTATTTGTTCCTTTGTTTTCAGTGTCACAAGCCTTTAATCTCTGGGTATCATGTGACACAGGTAGGTCCCTGTCTTTTCTCTGTTTCTCATATTGCAATGATTTTGGAAGAGCTTCTGATGGAGAAGAATCTCTAGTGGAAAATTAATATTTCAATAGATGGAATGCTGGTAGAAAAAAAGGAAGTTAGCTCCTTCTTTTTGAGGGTAAGAAGTGGGGAGACTTATGGTTCATTGTGTATATTCTGGTGGTCATTGGGTTAATGAAATTCCTACAACATTCCAAGCTGTGTTATTTCTCATCACTCTGATGTACTTTGAAACAGTTAGCAGCAACTCAAGATTTTTAAATAACAAAGAGTCATCTGGGATTGATCTGTGTTGATTTTCAGAAATGTCTTCTGGGCTGGGCTAGCGTAATTGGGCTGATAGTTTTTTATCTGTTTTTTGAAATGTCAAAATATGCCCTGGTTATACTTTATGACATTTTTATTGAAAAATTTTCAAATATTATAACCTAAAATGTCTGTCAGTTTTTGTGGTATCATTTATGTTTTAAGATTTTCTTGGAAGCATGAAGGGGAATATAAATATTTTTGTTCTTGCATGTACTTACATAGTAATTACAGCCATAAAAAGTTTTATAATCAAGGCCACATCTGGTTCACTCCTAAGAGGTATTCTTCAGTGCCACAGATATTCAGGGAATAAAATATTCAAGGAAAAAGCAAGTTACATTCATGATAGTCCCTCTTCCTGCAAAGTCTCTTGTGAGCTCAGTGTTTTCCTGGTTATTTTTCCCATTGAGTTCAAATGCCACCTTCCTCCTGTATCTTCCTTGGCACGACTCAAAGTAAAGTCTTTTCTCCATTGCAGTTCGGTTGTTCTTTGTACATACGTAGGTTCCATCATATCATTTTCTACCAGAAATGCATTTATGTTTCTGGTTCCCTCTAGAATATAAACTCCATTAGGGCAAGGACTATGCTTTACTCGTTTTTGTATCCCCAGAGCCTGAAAGAGAATGATTTTGATAAAGGAGATCTCTGTTTAATGAGCATAGATGTTGTCTCAGCCATCAGAGAAGACGCATTGACCTTTTGTTGTTCAAGAGAAAGAACAACAGTTGAGAAGGGGCGTAACTCTGGCTTGTGATGGTGAGAGGGAAGTGTCTGGAAGGTATACTTTAAGAAGTAGTGAGAGATAAGTTGAGATTGCTAGAATGAGGGAGAGAGTGTGTATAGTCTTATATTTCAGGAGAAATGGTGGGTCTATTAAAAGCCATTAGGCAGGAATGCAATATATACATGCCATATATAGTTTAAGTTTTTGATTTGCCATTAGAAATGCCAAAATACACTTGGCTTTCTGGGGAGAGATGCTAAGGTTGAAGTGGAGCAAGGTGAGCGGTGTGCTTATAGACTCCAGTGATGATAATGAGCATAATGATCACTTCAAAGCAAAGGCTTGAACCAAATTGAAGATAGAGGTATAAGGAAGGTTTTTCATAAAACTTATAAAACATACTCCATCCGTTTTTTTATGTATTTTATAACTCTCCATGTATATAATACATGCCTTTTCCTCCTAAAAGCCAGTAATTTGAAGTTTTAAGGGATAAATAAATTAGAAACCATTTATGTGCTAAAAAAAGAACTGAAGCCATTTGGAGATAAGGAAGAGATATTTGGTATAATTACACACTAATTATACCTGTTCTTTTAAGGAGCCTACACAAAATGAAAACACAGTGGATTGTGGAATTCTTGTCCTTCTTTGCTTCCTTCTCCAGGCTCTGAGTATTACCTGCTGAGTACTTTGCTAGATGCTGCAGTAACACAACACCCAGCACCTTATGCAGTTGTTTCAGTGGTTTACACAGATTAGCGCATTTGCCAGTACTAACTGCCCAGTGCAGTAAGCTTCACTATAATCTCCCCTTTACAGATGAGGAAACTGAGGCACAGGGAGAATTAAAACCAATAAATAGGAAACAATGATTTGTTTCCAGGCAACCCAGCACTGGAGTCCACATTTTTAAGCTCTGTATATTCTGCCTCTGAAAAGTCAGATGGGAAAGAAATTGTCTTTACCTTCATGTTACCCTAGGTTAATAATGCACTGTACATTATTAACATACAAATAAGCATGAAACTTACATAGAGTCGTTTGAAACTCCACTGTCAGCAAATATCTATGGACATGTATTCTGGGGGATTTCAGATTCCGTTTCATGGGCCTAAGGGGCTAAGAGCCCCCTGATGTTCACTATTCATATAATATTTTTCTGTTTCTTTTTGGAATTAGCTGTGACCATCATGCATTTTTCTAAATAATTCAAACTAAAATCTGTAGTCCCTTCCAGATGATGTTATTTATATTGTAATAAAGGAGAACATGTAATACTTAAACAGTTCCCTTGGAATTTACCTCTATACCCCAAACATGCTTGCTGATTATATAATTCTTCTCTTAGATAGTAGGGAAAGTGCATACCCAGGAAAGCTGCCTCAATCGAAGCAACTGAATTTTGATGTGATACCACAATGGTGCCTACCATTTTCCCCTGGGGGATGGAAAACTTTCCCCCAACCCCAAGTCTTCCTACTGTTTGAATCAGGCCTCTAGTCATAACCACTGAGCTGGGCTGTGTGTTGTAGCTCTGTGTCCACCCTTCTATCCATATAAGCTTTGGCAAGACCAGCATTGCTAAGACATGAAAAGAAATCTCCTTTAAGAAGGAATGTAGGAAAAGTTCAAAGGTTGCTTAGCATTGTCTTGGATAGGGAAGAAGTAGAGGGTAAAAACCCAAAAAACTAGTCTCTGGTGAAATATTTTTATATTTTGCATCTTTTATATTTTAAAATTTAAACATCTTGAATATCATTTTTTCACATGTATTCCTCTCACCTATTTCACAGTCACCTAGGTTCCCCCCCTTGAAGGCAACCAGAGCTTCCAGTTTTTTGTTACTCATTCTGAAGATATTTAACACATAAGGAATAAGAATATTTATTCATTTCTTTCATCTATACAAATGGTAGTACATCAGTCATGATCTTCCTGCTTTGTTTTTTCACATGAAGCATTCAGGTAGTATATAGATTGCTTTGCCATTCTTTCTTTCTTTTTAATTATTTTTATTTTTTTATAAACATGTAATGTATTATTAGCCCCAGGGGTACAGGTCTGTGAATCTCCAGGTTTACACACTTCACAGCACTCACCATAGCACATACCCTCCCCAATGTCCATAACCCCACCACCCTCTCCCTACCCCCCTCCACCCTCCCCAGCATCCCTCAGTTTGTTTTGTGAGATTAAGAGTCTCTTATGATTTGTTTCCCTCCCGATCCCATCTTGTTTCATTTATTCTTTTCCTACCCCCCAAAACCCCCATGGTGCATCTCCACTTCCTCACATCAGGGAGATCATATGATAGTTGTCTTTCTCCAATTGACTTATTTCGCTAAGCATAATACCCTCTAGTTCCATCCATGTTGTCTCATATGGCAGGATTTCATTTCTTTTGATGGCTGCATAGTGTTCCATTGTATATATATACCACCTCTTCTTTATCCATTCATCTGTTGATGGACATCTAGGTTCTTTCCATAGTTTGGCTATTGTGGACATTGTTGCTATAAACATTCAGGTGCACATGCCCCTTCGGATCACTACGTTTGTATCTTTAGGGTAAATACCCAGTAGTGCAATTGCTGGGTCATAGGGAAGCTCTATTTTCAACTTTTTGAGGAACCTCCATGCTGTTTTCCAGAGTGGTTGCACCAGCTTGCATTCCCACCAACAGTGTAGGAGGTTCCCCTTTCTCCACATCCTCGCCAGCATCTGTCATTTCCTGACTTGTTAATTTTAGCCATTCTGACTGGTGTGAGGTGGTATCTCATTGTGGTTTTGATTTGCATTTCCCTGATGGCGGGTGATGTTGAGCACTTTTCATGTGTCTGTTGGCCATCTGGATGTCTTTGCAGAAATGTCTGTTCATGTCCTCTGCCCATTTCTTGATTGGATTATTTGTTCTTTGGGTGTTGAGTTTGCTAAGCTCTTTATAGCTTTTGGATACTAGCCCTTCATCTGATATGTCATTTGCAAATATCTTCTCCCATTCTGTCAGTTGTCTTTTGGTTTTGTTATGGTAGCATTGTATTCCATTTATGAAGGCATTATAATTTATTAAATCAGTTTTCCACTGCTGGATATTTCATTTGCTTTTAGTCTTTTGAGATTACATATGATGCTGCAGTGAATAAGCCTGTTCATACATAATTTCACATGTGTGAGTGTTTTCTGTAGAATAAATTCCTACAGGAAATAGAGTAGCTGGATCAAAGAGTATACATTTGTTCATAATATTTGTTAGATAATGCCAGCTTCACCTTCCATAGAGATTATACCATTTTACACATCTACCAGCAATATGTGAATGTTTTGTCTTTCCCCATTTTTATTAATGCAATGATACACAGGATACACAAATACATAAATACATATATAGCAATATGTATCTATGTATATAGACACCTGTGTATTTATCTTTAATCTTGGTATGATAGGTGATATGATAGGTGAAAAAGTTTCTCTAGGTTTTTTTTTCTTCTTCAAATTTTAATTTAAATTCTAGTTAGTTAACATATAGTTTAATATTGGTTTCAGGAGTAGAATTTAATGATTCATCACTTACGTATAATACCCAGTGGCCATCCCAAGTGCCCTCCTAAATACCCATCACCAATTTAGCCCATCCCCCACCCACCTCCCCTCCCTATGTAATTTTTAAAAAATTTCTTGTTATTAACATATAATTTATTATTAGCCCCAGGGGTACAGGTCTGTGAATCACCAGGTTTATACACTTCACAACACTCTATGTGATTTTCTTTTTTAAAAGATTTTATTTATTTGACAGCGAGAGAGACAGTAAGAGAGGGAACACAAGCAGTGGGAGTAGGAGAGGGAGAAGCAGGCTCTCTGTGGAGCAGGGAGCCTGACGCAGGGCTCTATCCCAGGACCCTCGGATCATGACCTGAGCTGAAGACAGATGCTTAACATGACTGAGCCACCCAGGTGCCCCTCTCTATGTGATTTTCATTTGTATTTCCCTTATTGTAAGTGGGATTGAGCAGCTCTTCAGATGTTTAAGGCTACTGGTATTTCCTTTTCTTTTTTAAAAAAATTGATTAATTAATTAATTTGACAGAGATCACAAGTGGGCAGAGAGGCAGGCAGAGAGAGAGAGAGAGGGAGAAGCAGGCTCCCCACTGAGCAGAGAGCCCGATGTGGGGCTTGATCCTAGGACCCTGAGATCATGACCTGAGCTGAAGACAGAGGCTTTAACCTACTGAGCCACCCAAGTGCTACGGTATCCCCTTTTCTATAAGAAAAAATTATAGAAATCATGTAGAAAAATTATAGAAAATTTTCTATATTTATTATGTTTTTATGTTTTTCTACTGTGGTTAGCCTTTATACATTGATTTTATGTAATATGAATTTCACATATTTTTCCTAGTTTGTCTTTCTTCTTTGACTTTGCTTATGTCATTTTTGCCATGCAGCTGTTTACTTTTGATATAGTCAAATTTATTAATCTCTTCTTTTATGACTTCCGGGTTGGTGTCATACTTTGAAAGACCGTTCCAGTTATAATTTTGTATAAACTTTGTTTTATAATTTCTTCTGTTCATAGTTTCATGTTTTATATTTTCAAATATTTAATCCATCAGGATACCAAGATGTGAGGTTTAAATGTTTTTAAATCTGATGTGACCATAACCTAACACCACTTATTAGGCAATGCATTTTTTTCCCCTGCTGATTTAAGATACCACCTTTTCATATACTAAATTTCCTTATGTATTTGAGTCTATTTCTGGACTTGCTTTTTCAAATTCATTGATGATTTTTCACTCATGAATGCCACAATTATCAATGTAAAGTACTAACTTGCTATTAATGGTTATCACGTCCAAGCCTACCTCACTAGATTATGGCAATGTGCTAGTGAACACAAACATCTGTGTAGCCAAACCATAAATCTATACTTGATTCTCTGCCATACCTGGCAGAAACTGAAACTGGCATGGAAAAGAATGCAGTAGGCAAGTCTGGAATGGCATAGAAGTCTGGCTAAGCTTGTTGTGCCTTCTATAAAGTTCTGATATATTAGTTACAACTGAAGCAACTGGGGGAAAGAGCTGTTTAATCACCAGGAGTCTGTTGTTAATCTCCAGGAACTGTCTTCCCATACACAGGACTGTTAAAAGTGTTTGTGGGGATTACAAGGCTCCCTTCAGCTATCTCCTTCATCAGAATAGTCTGAACTGGAATTCAGTATGCTTAGAGTTTACTACCTATGAGGGCTTGAGCAATTCCAGTGGTACATATTTAACACAGACAAATAAAACTGGATGAAGGACAGACTTAGTCCACGCTCTATTCACTTTAAATCCATCACAGCTCTGTGTTCGGTAAAGTCGGTGGGACCACAACCACACTTTCCCATTCATAACTGTTTCTACCTTGGTTTTCTCTGCTGCAGTATCTCTGGTATTACTTCTGGATTTTTTTTTAGAGCACTGCAACTCTCATGGAAATTACTGTACATTGAGTGCCTCTCTGTAGTAATCCTAAGAAGTTTGGCATGCTGCCCTTTGACTACTTCACCCAAATCCTTGCATAGGTCTTCAGGCATAGGGTAACTGCTCCTTGCTATTATGAGCCCTGGGTATTAAGTTATTCCTTGTTGCTTTCCCTAAAAGTTCTGTCCACACTTTTGTAAATACTCCTTTTATTACACAGATTCAGATTGCTATCTTGTTACTGCTGTGATGTAGTTCTTGTTATAAAAACAGGAACTTTTAAGCCTCCTATACTTCAATGCTGAAAAGGCAGTATAAAACCTACACTCTTTGATTCAGGTCTAGCTAATTAAGCATAACATTAAAACAAGAGCCTGCATCCTATAATTAGTAGTTATCAAAGAGGAACATATGGGAGGATAAAAGATTTGTTAATTCTGGTGTGTGAATAGACAGGGTTGTATTCTGTAGAACATTTCAGAGTAAGTTGAAGCTGAAAATGTTTACCAGACATTTCTATGATATGCGAAGAATGTGATATGTAACCTGTATTGGGGTGAACCCCATTTTATATAAACTCCTATCTGGTTTGTCTCTTACTACTTCTCTTTTAATGTTAGAGATAATAACCCTTAATTGTGCTTGTTAAATTTTTGGGAAATATAACACAGCTAATAGATAAAACTGATATATGTACAATTTGAGTTTAAAATGTTTTTACTGTACTTCAGAACCAAAATGTATACACCCTCATGTTTCTATAAACATGATATTGTTATATATATTGTGACAATTTCTCACCTAAGGAGGATCATTCTTACCTGAGTCAGGATGCTAAGAAAACTGAGTCTCAAAGAAATATCCTGTAAATATTCTTTTAAGTAAAACCAGGCAAGGTAATAAAGGGCCAAAGTGGCGGGGGGAAACCGTCAAGAAGATGAGAAACTTCAGGAACATGAGAACTTTCATGAGACTCAGAAAATACGGAGTTTTGCTGTGAATTGTGTAAGACTGATGATTCACAGACCTGTACCCCTGAAACAAATAGTACATTATATGTTAATAAAAAATACGGAGTTTTGGTCTAGAAATTCTAAAATTTTGAGCATCTGTTAATGAAAAGTTTTAAAAATTTTTATGGAAAAGTTGCCATGGACTTCATAGAGTTTCAGAAATTTGGATTTAGAAGGTATAATTAATATTCTAAAAGAGAGTTTTTATGCTTAGAGAGGAAAGGAGGAAGGAGGAGAAAGTATCTGAGCTAGGTAGAACACCCGATATTTGCACAACCAATAATGGAACTTACTGGAAGTCGAAATATAGTCAGGTGAAATTTAGGTGACTTTATGATGTCATCTAACATACTTTTTTAAAAGGGACATTTGGGACATATACTAAAACTTAATTTTGAGGTATAGAGGACTGTGAAACAATTATGTAAACTTTCTTTGCTGTTTTATCAAAGACAGTAACAGTACTATCCTAGGATAGTATTCTAGTCCATGGTAGTGTTTCAAGAAAAATAACCAAAAAGAATATTTGTTGAGAGCTTACATTATGTGTCCTACCCTGTGCTGACTGTATTACTGGATTATGTCTTTATACCTTTGAAGAACATAGTGTGTTGTCCCCATTTCTCAGAGAAAGCAAACTGAGGCTTGGAGAGATTAAGCAATTTTGTCCATGTCATACAATGAATGCCTAGTGCAGTCTTGATTCCACTGCAAGTAACTGTTCTTGAACATATTCTCCTGCATTTGAAGCAAGATAGCCTTTGGTATGAGGTGATAGGTAAAGACACACACACACACACACATACACACACACACACACACACAGAAACGCACACATGCATGCATCAGGAGAAATGGCTGTTTATTAAAAACATATGAAAACAATGTCATGTAAGAGCATCATGATCAGTGTATACGTAGGATGAAGATATTGCTGGCCTGAAAATACATGCATTTGGGCCTGGGTTAAAAATCACTTGACAGTTGTTTTAATCTGTCCTTTCCTAGAACTGAATGGAACTCTGAATGCCAAATCAGAAGATGAATAGTTGGCAGCTAAGGAGTCCATTCCATAGTTACCGGTTGGCTCTAATGCATTTTATGTGACTTATAAAGATATCCATATGTCACAAAGATTTTAGGCAGAGAGACTCAGCAGCAGGAGGAGGCACAGCACATGGGGCGGGGGCAGGTGGAGATGACACAGGTAGGGCGATAGCAAGTGGTGTGGCAGGAGACCTGGCCACAGACTGGGCGCAGGCAGCAGGAGGGACAGCAGCAGGAGGGGCAGCTGCAGCTGGAGCCACAGCAGCTGGATCCACAGCAGGAGGGGCGGCAGCAGCTGGAGCCACAGCAGGAGGGGCGGCAGCAGCTGGAGCCACAGCAGCTGGATCCACAGCAGGAGGGGCGGCAGCAGCTGGATACACAGCAGCTGGGGCGGCAGCAAGTGGTTCTGCAGCATGTGGTCTGGCAGCAGGTGGGTTGGCAGCAACTGGAGCCACAGCAACTAGAACCACAGCAGGAGGGACGACAGCAGCTGGACATGCAGCAGCAGGGCTTGCAGCAGCTGGAGCCACAACAGGAGTTGACCATGGTGTCAGAGGGTGGAGGTTCTGGGTGCGTTTCCAGGAAAGTCAAGGTCTTGAGTGTGGAAGTCTTGTGCCGTGGCCTCTTATATACTGCCCAAACAGGGTGATTTGTCAACATGTCTTCCTTGTTGTTGTTTATCCAATATTTGAGTAATTATCAGATACAGTACTGTTTGACTAATGGTTTAAATGTGTTGGAAACAAATTTTCATTTCTAGATGTGATCAATTCTATCTGGTTTGCTTTTCCTCCTGATTCACACCCTCTGGCATCTTTTGGACCACTCTCTCCTCCTTTTCCTCCACAGAGGGATGTTGTGTGACAGGTAGTGTTTGCAATCACATTTCTTTCTGTCCCGTATCCCTTAACAGGATGGGATTAGGGCAATTATATTTCTGCTCTGTGCGTTTCTTCCAATGATCAGTGGGGAGGAAATCTCATGTGCATAGCATGGCATGTGGGAAGTGGCATGAGACAAGAGGAAAAGGACCTCTATTATGGGTCATTGTTGAGCAATGAGAAGGAGACAGCTCTACATGGTGTGACATTGCTGATCTCTTTGGCACTGAAATGGCTTTTCTTGGATGTTTCAAACTTTGGATCGTGTTCTTTACTCTAAAACCATGGTAGGCAATTATCCGTATGGTTCTTTTCACTACCATGTTCCATTGCTCGGAGTTGTTACTTTGCTGTCATATATATTTGTGTTGTTTTCTCCAGCTGGTCTTTAGATTCTGGAAGGCATAGCCTCATTTTTATTCCTCATCCCATTCTTAATTAAAAATACTCTTCAACAGAGCAGAGAAAATGTTGGCTAATCACAATGTGCCTCTCCTCAGAACTTACCTCTATAGCACAGGGTTGTTTTTTTTTTTTTTTGATCTATTTGAAATGTGAATGAATTTTAGTCAGTTTAACTTCATTTAGTTACTATTTCTACTTATCCTTTATTTAGTGATAGTCTAACTTGAACATGTATCATATCATCCAAAGGGCTTATTAATGTGGTTGGGACAATTCTTGGAGGTTCTAACTACAAGGTGGAACCCAAGGTTTGTCTGACCAGTACCCAGATGATATTGATGCTGAAGGACCCAAGGACCGTTAGAGACCTATTCCTTTATTCTGTTCATTCAAGCTTTGAGGAAGTACCTCTATCAAATTCCTGCTTGTTTATAAGGCAGATTTGTTGAGTGGATAATCTTGAGATACATATGTTGCCAGTAATTGGGGTTATACATGTGATTTAGAATTTGCTCCCCAGGAATTTACAGATAACTGTGACGATCACATACATGCGTGTGTGTGTGTGCACATGAACACGTATGCTTGCACATCAAAGGAGTGCAACATCAAAGGAGTATAATTTAACTAAAAGAGTGGTGTCTAAGATGAATTAGCCAAGGTGACAATTTGGTAAAGACACAGATTAATTTTTTTATGGTTAAAATTCTTTTTAAAAATTTTATTTATTTATTTATTTATTTATTTATTTATTTATTATTTTTATTAACATATAATGTATTATTTGTCCCAGGGGTACAGGTCTGTGAATCGCCAGGCTTACACATTTCACAGCACTCACCATAACACGTACCCTCCCCAGTGTCCATAACCCAACCACCCTCTCCATCACCCCCTCCCCCAGCAACCCTGTTTGTTTTGTGAGATTAAGAGTCTCTCATGGTTTCTCTCCCTCCTGATCCCATCTTGTTTCATTTTTTCCTTCCCTACCCCTCACAACTCCCCGCCCTGCCTCTAAAATTCCTCATATGAGAGGTCATATGATAATTGTCTTTCTCTGATTGACTTACTTCACTCAGCATAATACCCTCTAGTTCCATCCATGTCATTGCAAATGCCAAGATTTCACTTCTTTTGATGGCTGCATAGCATTCCATTGTGTGTGTGTGTATCACATCTTCTTAATCCATTCATCTGTTGATGGACATCTAGGTTCTTTCCATAGTTTGGCTATTGTGGACATTGCTGCTATAAACATTCAGGTGCATGTGTCCCTTCGGATCACTATATTTGTATCTTTAGGGTAAATACCCAGTAGTGCAATTGCTGGGTCATAGGGTAGCTCTATTTTCAGCTTTTCGAGGAACCTCCATGCTGTTTTCCAGAGTGGCTGCACGAGCTTGAATTCCTACCAACAATGTAGGAGGGTTCCCCTTTCTCCGCATCTTCACCAGCATCTGTCATTCCTGACTTGTTAATTTTATCCATTCCGACTGGTGTGAGGTGATATCTCATTGTGGTTTTGATTTGCATTTCGCTGATGCTGAGTGATGTGGAGCACTTTTTCATGTGTCTGTTGGCCATCTGGATGTCTTTCTTGCAGAAATGTCTGTTCATGTCCTCTGCCCATTTCTTGATTGGATTATTTGTTCTTTGGGTGTTGAATTTGATAAATTCTTTATAGATTTTGGATACTAGCCCTTTATCTGATATGTCACTTGCAAATATCTTCTTCTGTTCACTGACATCCAACTCTTGGCCACAAGTTTACCAATAACATAGTCAAATAACATATTTTTTATGTTGTGTGTCTTGTATACTGTACTCTAAGAATAAAGTAGGCCAGCAAAAAGAAAGTTATTAATAAAATCATAAGGAAAAATTTTAGAATACTGCAGTGTATTTATATTAAAAAATCTACCTATAAATGGACTCAAGTGGTACAAACCTGTATCATTCAAGGCTCAAATATAGGTTCAATCAATGCTTAATCTAGTATTCCTTTCTTAAATTGTAAACAGAGCAAGCACTTCAATTCACACTGAATTTATAAAAACTCTTATGAAAAACACATACACTGCATAGTGTATAAAATACACATGCGTAATGTAATAATTTTGACACAAACCCTCTATACCTAATGCCCAAGTCATAAAATAGAATGTTACATTCACCAGTGGAGCCCTTGATATGTTTTTTTCTGGACGATATCTCCCTCTTTCTACCCTATAGGCTATCACTAACCAGATTTTTATATTATCTTTTTGTTAATTTTCTTCATGATTTTACCACTTGGGTATACATCCCTAAACAATATAGTTTAGTTTTACATGTTTTCAAATTTTAAATAAAGGAATAGTGATTCTTTCAATATTATGCAAAAATTCTGAGGCAGACTCCAAGAAGGCCCAGTGCTTTCCACCTCTTGATGTTCATGGTCTCATGTATTTCCCTATGCTCGAGTAACTTGCTTCTAAACCACAGCAGATGGCAACATCAAGGGGTTGAGTTACAAAAGACTGTGACTTTGATCTCAAAGCCAACACTTTTCGCTCTCTTACTGGCTTTGATGAAGCCAGGTGCAATGTGGGAGAGATCCTTGTGACAGAAAACTGAGCACAGTCTCCATTCACCAGCCAGCAAGGTCCCCACTCTAGTGGCCTTCCAGGAACTGAATCCTGCTGGTGTCCTTGTAAGTGAAGTAAGAAGTAACTTCTTTCCCAGTCAAGACCACACTTGAGACCTTAGTGCCAGCTAACTAGTTGAGGATACCCATCTGAGAACCCATCTGAACAGCATCAGGATTCCTGATCCACAGAAACTGTGAGGTAATAAATACATGTCATTTTAGGTGGCTAAATATTGAGGTAATGTTACATAATGATGAATATCCAGCAGATTTACCTAGCACACTCCACATACAGCTGAGGAGAAGATTTCAAAAGGTGCAGAGATGTGGAAACACATAGTCACAAGCCCAGAAAGGCCAACTGGCTGAATATGACCCCGAGTAGGTCTCAGGGGCACTCTCTTTACTGAGGTAATAAGGAATCATTAGGAATGGGAGTCAGCAGAATCACTGAGTAAATAGTTCCTATTCCTTGAATTCAGAGTCTGTGATAGGGAATATCATCAGAGAACTGATCTCCTAGGAATATGGGGATGATATATCTCTGAATAGTAGAGTCCAGTGCCAACATTTAATTCAAGGAAGTAATGTGGATATAATGATATTGCCAGCAAGCTTGGAATGACAAAGGGGGACAGAATGGGTGTGAACCTCAGGGATCTATCATTGTGGGTAAAAGAGTATGGTGTCCTTAAGAATAGGATATAGGCAGTTAAGTAGGTTATAGGTATGCCTGTACATTAAGCACAGTACAGTTAGGGAATAAATGAATGAAAAGATGAGGATACTGAATCTGAAGGAACTCAAGATCCGTTTTACAGATGCAGACTGAGTCAGTTCTCAGACTAGAACCCACGGACCAATCAAACCAGAGGCCAGTCATCTAGGATAAAGAGGAACAACAAGTGTGTATACTAGAAATTTCCTAAGAACATTCCAAATGAAAACATTTACAGGGAAAGCTGGAGTAATCATCCATTTGCATGCAATTAAATAAGGGATCTGAGATGACCAGGAAAGATAACTACAAAATGCTGGTATAGCACCATTAGAATATAAAGATCCAGATGCCAGGAATATAGGAGTTCCCAGTCACCTCAGTTCCAAGTATTCCAAATATGGGAAATGTTGCCTCATTTTTCTATTATTATACACTCTTTGTATTTAGTGGTCGTAACTCTGAGAGAAGAAAGCAAGCTTGAGAGTAAAATGGTAAAATCTGATTGCTTTGAAAACACTGGATGGCACCTTATCCCTTTGGGTTTGTAGTGTTGGGAAATCATCAAGCACAGAAGGGAGCTCTGGGAGCCATTAGGAAGATGTTTAGCATTGAGCTGATCTACAGGAGCATTCTTG